AAAGCCAGCTGGAGCAGGAAAGTCCTCAAGACTCTTATCTCCAATTAAGCACAAGAAAACTGGAAGTGGCACTGTTGCTCAAGTGGCAGAGTGCTTCCCTGGAGCTAAAGAGCTTAAGGGCAGCACCCAGGCCCAGAGTTCAAGTCCCATGACAAAAAAAAAAAAAAGTAAGGAAAAAAAAAAAAACCACAGACAGGTTCTAACAAAGCCTACATCTAAACAAAAGAAAGGATCATTTGGTCTCTCTGAGTTTTTATGGCCAGTGTCTAGCATTTAACTTCCCCACCACCCATGAAGGCAGAAGAAGCCATCTGGAATAGGTATGTGCCCGAATGAGCTGTCTGTGATGGGGAATGCCCATGGACCTTAGTTCTATGGAACAAAATAATCAAGAGACCTTTGGTCTCTGAAAATTAATGCGAAATCTTCATCCATGTGGATGTTTTGTATAGAAGTCTTCATGGTGATATGGTTGGTTTCTAAAAGATCTGTTTGAGACTGTTTATAATCACATAGCCTTTCTTATTCTATGTCAGTTGGAAGGTTGTTGGGGTGGGGGTTCCAGGGAGCCTTCTGGCATCACTCAGATAAATCCATCATAAGTAGAAAATGCATTAAATACACCTAACATATGAACACCCTAACTTAGCAGTACATATGCCATGATATCTGCCATTTCCCCTCATGTGGCTGATGGGATTGAGGCTCAATGATACTGTCCAGCACTGAAAGAGAGTACTATAGCACAAATCACTAGCCCAGGAAGGAACAAAATTCAAAATCTGAAGTACAGTTTCTACTGGATGTGTATATATCACTTTCACATTACTATAAGGCCAAAAGACAATAAGTAGAACCATTATTAAGTTTAAGATGTTTATAACACCATTTTCTTTTCTTTTCTTTCTTCCTTCCTTCCTCTTCTTTCTTTCTTCCTCTTCTTTCTTTCTTTCTTTTTTTTTCTTTCTTTCTTTCGTTGGTCGTGGAACCTGAACTCTGGGCACTGTCTCCCAGCTCTTCAGCTCAAGGCTAGTGCTCTACCACTTGAGCCACAGTTCTACTTCCAGCTTTTTCTGCTATGTGGTGCTGAGAAATTGAACCTAAGACCTCATGCATACAAGTCAAGCACTCTACCACTAAGCCATCTTCCCAGCCCCTGTAACACCATTTTCTATAGCATAAATTCATTCAGTCAGAATTTTTTAAAACCACTTTAAACATAGTATTACCAAGGACTATAAAAATTATTTATCAATATTGGATTCTATCACGGGGAATCCAGTCAACAATTAGAACCTAGGAATATGGGACATAAATAGGTGCTTGCAGGATGCAACTTGAGGGATATCAAAACCTTCAATTCTGGGAGTCATTTTATGCCAGCACACCACTGTCATTATTTTTTGTGCTTTGCTCCTAGTAACAATGGAGATTCGCTATAATGACATATTAAAGGAGCAAAAGATCCTAACGCAGTTTTATACATTTATATCCAAGTACAAATTAATATATCAGGCTAGTTAGCAGAGAACAGGTTCCTAACGGATATAGCAGGCATAATCTGCATAAAAAGAGATTTTCAAGAATGTGTGCTATATGCTGGCTGCATATGTCTTTAAGATGTGAGTTATATGTGAAAACAAATTTGATTTCTTAAAAATGCCACATTTCAGCATTAATACAGCCCCAAACTGGTCCCAGGAACATTAATACATGATATAACACTCAAAGAATCACAGCCCACATTAATATATTAAGGGCTCTAAAGGCCTTTCTGTAAATAATTTGATTTAATTTCATTTAAACCAAAATTTGTAAAGCTTATTTATTCAGGCAGCTACTTGTTCATCCATTCAGTGAATTATTGAGCACT